TTTTTTCTACCCAAGAAAAGAAGAGCGCTGCAGGCTCTTGAATGCAGATGCGTTTTCATCCATTTGATCTCTTCACTTCTCTGAAATTTGCTGCATCTACGGTCTTGTCACGCTTTCATGGGTCTGTGCTGAAGAGTTCAGTGTAATAATAGGAACTGGCACAGTTGGACAGCTTTAGGATTTAAAAAAAAAAAAAAGTGTATTATTAAAACAGAGCAGCACTGGTAGCCGGGCTCAATGCGATTTTATGCTTTTGCTGTTTTGAAACTCGTTTAAGTCACATTTGATGGTCATATATTTTCACTTCGATTTTATTTATGTAGTGCCACTTCACAACAAATGCCATCTCGAAGCAATTTACCAAAAAAATAAATAAATAATTCAGTCACACAAACATTACAATTGATTCTAGTTATCAAATGGTAAAAATGACACAATTAATTATTCTATCCAGTTAAAAAAAAGTTTTTAACTGGATACTTGTTTTCTTAGCCCTACATATTTGAACCTCATGCAACGACATGATGATATAAATAGGAAAACTATCTGATAGGTCACAGTGTTTCTTAATCAACGTACTATCGCTATAAATTGAAGATTCAAAGGTCTTTTTTTTTCTACCTGATTACTTAGTGGGCAAAATACTGAGCACATTTACATTGAATCTTGCTTTTCAGAGTACTACGTTTTCTTTCCTCTACAAACATCACTTTAGATGCAGCCATTGTTGTTGTTGTTGTTCTGTGTGTTTGTTGCTTTTCCAATCATTTGTCTGAAATTTTTCTTCAAGGAAAACTACACTTTGTCATCTTTCGGGTTTTGTTTCAGACTCAAATGCATGGATCGAACCCCAAACAATGACCTGAAATGACCTGCTGAATAACAGAAGAAGACAGGCAGAGTCCGAATGCCTTAAAGATTTTATACTGTTTGGCATCTAACAACAACAAACTGCCAGTGAGATCCACAACAGGGTTCTTTAAGAAACGCCCTCACAAAGTTGTATTTACCCAGTTTTCCATGCTGGTTCCTTTCCCCGCCAGTGACTGGGCAAGAGGAATTTGGACCTCGGAGCTTCTTTCTGCAAGGCAACAGTGGTATCAACTGTTTTCAACTAACAATGATGTGATAAACGCATGAAAGGTCTGCCTAAAAGAAATATGCCAAAACGTATTGTTGATTTTTTTTTTCTGTACAATCCCTATGAAAACATTGAAGTTTGTTTAAGGTTTAAGAGTCAGAAAGTTCGAAAACCTTTGACTGACAGCTGGTTTGTGAATAAGTGCAACAACAGCAACTCTGCCCGTGTGGAAATCCAGCAGCCCAGGAAGCAAAACAGGAGGAGCAGCGGGTCAGAGTCTTATAGCCAAACAAATCAAACAGCATGCAATGTTTCCAAATGCTACAGAAACTTTGAAAACCACACAAAAGTAAAATAAACAAATAAATAAATTCTTTAATAACTTAAAAACAACTACAGACATAGTAAAACTCAAGGTTATTGCTAGTTTCTCAAAACAGTCGAACTGTAAAGTGTCACCCTTTCTCAGCAGTGACACCTACTGTTCATTACCAGCACTTTTTAAATCTGAACAGTTTTTGTGATGTGCAATTTATGAAATGTGTAATCAACTCGACTATTTTACTACAAATTTTGAATAGTCGATCTTTGCAAAATCGTAGATGAAGGCGTTAACTTGCGTAGATTCCCATACTGGTGAAGCCATTTCAGGACTTCACTCCAAACATGTTGGATCCAAATCTGAGCTGTGGATAATGTCATCCTGTGTGAACTGACCAGGAAGTGACCTCCCACGACCATCTTCCACTCCCGTGCTCTTTTCACCTGAAGATTTGCAGAATCTGCAAACCCCCGGAATATACTTTCTGCATCGGCCTGAGCCATCGCAGGCACAGATTTTCAGCTGATAACCTCTCATATCAGGTCTCACATGTTTTCTATGCAGAGCTCCTATGTGAGCAACATCGTATCTGTCATGTTGTAAAAAGTGCAGCCAATTCAGCTCTTGATATCAGCCGTGTTTTGACAGATATTGTCTGGTAACCGTTTCCAGTTAGATCCGCTTTCTTCTGTCTTAAATTACGCACTTAGTTTCTTAATTTTACTGGCAATACTTCAGATTTATAAAAGTACGTACATAAAACACATGATGTTCGCAAAGAATGTAATTTTTGTGGGGGAAAGGGATGCTTGAAAAAAATCAAACTTCTTTTCAATCACTTCTTCCATTTGATGAGAGACTAAATGTTTCATACAATTATTGCGATATGAGCCATTCTTTGCCTTGATTTTGTAATTTTCAACCGCTCAAAGGAAGTGACTCATAAACGTTGAAGAATATTGTCGTTTTTCTTCAAACGGGACGTGCAGAACTTTGCTGATTTGCCACTTTTCAACCTCAATAAGTTGGAGAAAAGCCACAGAGGGAAACCCATCCCAGTATGAAACACACTGAACCGGAAAACCATTACCATCGCGTGCTTTTGTGTCTCACAGCAAAATAAGGACTTGATGGCGTTCTTGTAGTCATGACCTCTCCACATGTACGATCAGCTATGGTTCATGAACGTAAAGCTAAAGCGCCAAAATACAAAAAGGTGAAGTAAATGGCATTATAATGGAAACCCATTTATGTATTTAGGAAGAGGGTGATGTATTTTCTCTGTGATGGTAAATTGGTTTCATATGCTAAGGTAAAGGATGTCCACAAACCAACTGCACATAAATTACCCCTGCAACCTCCTGAAAAAATGTGATAAAGCCCCTCTAATGTTGAAGTGGTTTTATTGGAATCGCAATCAGTTTTTTCTGTGTTTATTCTAGTCTTTTCTATATCATCTAGAACTAGCTTGAATTTTGTGAGGTGGGATATGTACAGAGTTCCAAAATAGTCTGGTAATTTGATTTGATATTTTTATGGATGAGTATAAATATCGAAAGAAGACAGAAAAAAATATACATCATTCCCAATCCCTACTTTACAAAGGCTCCCTATCCTATGTTCCATATTTTCCTCCTTATATTTTGCCATCTGTCTTCCCATCCTTGTTACCACCCTGATGTCTTTTTTTTAATCTAACCCTTCCTTGTGCTGTTCTGTCTTTCCTGCTCTGCATTCTTACTTCCTTTTCTTCTGTTCACTCTCAGAATTCTGTCCTATGTTCATCCCTAATGTCAAAATCCTTGTCCTTCTAGTCTTGTTGCCTTACTTACCTTCTTCTTTCCTTCCTGTCAGTCAGTCTACCAGATAGATCCTGCCTATCATATACATCTGGCATTAATTCAAGTGGATTTTTAAATAGAGAATAAAAGGGATTTAATATTTTTTTAATCAAAATGTGTAAGTGAAACAATTGAATAGACATTTTTTTTATAATAGCAATATTCACAGGCTTACACAAACAACTTAACTAAAATGAGTCCCTTCTCCATCAAGCGAAAAATATGTTTTTGTACTGAGCAAAAGGGAAATAGATTGTAATTATGTGTGCAAAAATTGCAGCCAACACATGGAATTGGTTTCCTGATTTGCTTTGTTGTATCAAGTTTGTTCCAGATTCTCTACAATGTGCCCAAGATCACAACCCACTGAAAAAAAAAAAAATGAATCAATTAACACACGAAATATATCAAACCACAGCACTGCAGGCCTCCATAGCAACCAAGTTCCTCAGTGTCTATTAACTAAGTATCTGCTGCCATCTTGTGGACACAGAGTGATATTTTTTCTGTTGGTGTAATGCAATGTCTACACGACAGGTGTCACTGTGTAGCCATTTTTTTAACGTCCATGAATTTGGTTCAGTGGCCTTCCAGCAGCTCTCGGTTGTTTCATGGGAATAAATAACCTTTGCTGTGTAAAGTCACCACTAGATGTCGCCATATTAGTTTTGCAGTTCACAATAATTTATATTGAGGATTTTGACATTTACTCGTCTTTTACTTCCAAGTCAGCAAATATGAATGTTAATTATACACACTGATCAGCCATTTCTTCTTTGTTTATTATTATTATTATTATATTTATTTATTTTTTTCTCACATTGCAACCACAAGCTTTAATGTGCTTTCAGAAATTTTATGCAAAAATGACACAATGATGTTCAGTCCCCAGGTTTTGTTTTTAACTGACCATGAAAGCCTTTTGCAGTGTCTTTCTTTTGTTTTTCTGTCCATTCTGATGTTTAATTTTCACTAATATTCAGCAAGAACCTTCTGAGAACCTCAACAAAACAAAATAAGGTTGATTTTGAGGGCAGTTGGTGACACAAGACGTAATCTATAAAGGATAGTAAAGAAGGATGAAATACAAATGTGGGTCAAACATTTTGTTGTGTGTAAAAGAAATGCTGAAAACCATCTTTCATTTTCTTTCTTTTTTTTAAGAAGCAGTGGAAAAGTGTTAAACCTTTGAAAAAGAGATCATCATGCAGGATTCAAATCTTCTCTGCCAGGAGGAGATCTATTCAGCACGTCTGTGTACACATTATGAATTCCACAATTACATAAAACAAAATTTCAAAAATCTCTTATTTCTTAAGAATTATTCTTAAGAATATAGGAGTTTCTATCCACTGATACTTTTTAGCATATATAAACTCCGCTAAAGTGTATAAACCTATAAATACCTATAAAACCTATAAAAATAAACTCATAATGATGTATTCAGAGTTAATCAAAGGCCCGTGATTAAGGACTCTTGTGCAGCAAGGTTTTGCTCATAATTCCACTTTCCCAGTCTCAAGAGCTTAATTCCTAGTCTCAAGAGCTTCCGCACAATGAAGGTTGTGTGCTATTTTTTTTTTTTAAATCACTCCCCATTTTGATGTATCATAACATAAGGGTCTATGGGTTTCTGTCCAAATGATCTTCACAGGGGGCTGGCAGCAAGGGGCAGGATTCCATCTCTTTTTCTGCCCTCCCCTGCACTCCTTCTCCACCCTCCTCCACCTCTCCATCCATCCCTCTCCCCTCTCAGCTCTCTCCTTCTGAAAGCACTTTTTTCCCCCCACCCCTGTCTCTGCACTGTGCCAGATTAGCAGAGGAGTGAAGGAGCAGAAAGAGGAGCGAGAAGAGAGGATTTGCCGATTGGAAGAGAGACAGACGGGGGTGAGGGACCATGGCTGCTCTCTCCGCCTTGCTGAAGACCTGGGTCGTCCTGCAAACCCTGTGCCTGGCTCTGGCACAAGTGGTGAGTGGATGGGAAAGGTTTGAGCCCTGCCGGACTCACAGGTAGAGGGGATGAGGGCCCTCGAAACGGGTCAGCGGGCTTTGGATCTCTTGATGCTGTGAGTTCATGTGGAGTCTTGATAGCAGGTAGATCTAATTAAGGAATTGAGGAACAAGGCAACGCGGACCCGATGCTTGAAGAGATGATCGAGGTAGAAAAAGAAGATGTGAAAGTTTTTCTTCTTTCTAGCTGTTTAAACAAGCAGCACTGGACTATTCTCTGTGGATTATCAGCCTCAGGGTGGGTGGATTTTCAATTCTTTGAAGCCAACAACTTCCGTTTGGAGGATTCTTGATGACAAGGATTTGTCTTCGCCTGTCCTACTCCCTTTTTGGGGAAAGTGCAGACATATTTCTAAAAACAGAAAATGTCTCCTTTCTTTCTCATTGAGGAAACCATGGAAGCCTTTGAAAGACAAACATTAGCGCACACAGATGCAAATTCACACGTCACCTACAGACGGTCTTGTACCTTCATCCTGGAATTTCTTCGTTCTTTTTCAACATGGATTGCTGTCATTTTTATTTTTTGCAAATATATTATTATTATTATTATTATTATTATTATTATTTTTTGTATGACACGAGAGACTGGTTGAGGTGAAAAGATTAGGGCCTTAGCTGATGGGGGGTGGGGAGGGTACACAGTGCCATCCTCATAACCCCTCCCTCTAACATTCCTCCTCGATTCCTCCACCTTTACCTCATTTACTTAACACCATCCCTTCAATTTTTTAACACTGTTGTCTAGTTCTGTTGCTTTTCCTCTCCATGTGAACTTCTAAGGCATTTATATGACTATGACAGGCTAATACAAATATAAATAATAAAGGGCTTACTTATGCAGCGCTGCAAATCAAAGAGCAAATCCATTATTATCCAGTATTATTTTTATTTTAACAGGTTTGCACACACATGTTTTTCACACATGCTTGCATTATTGATTGAGATAAACAATAAAAAGGGTCCTGTTTGTCTATTTAGGCATGAATATTCTCCACACAGCACATATTAGAAATATGATTGAAACCTATCAGTCCTTCATGCGTTTACCTTTCTCCCTATCTTCCAGAGGGGCCCGTCCGGCCCTCAGGGTCCACCAGGTCCTCCTGGCATCCCTGGCTCCGATGGCATTGATGTGAGTATCCGGTTTGCCCGGTGCACGTCCTCACAAAGGTCGGTATTGTGACCGCTTCCTCGCCGTGCAGTACCAGAGTTCTGCCAGCAGATGGGGCCGTAAAATAAAAACACGCGGGCAACAAAAGGGGCTCTGTTCCGCGCCAGAGAGGGCTCTTTTCAGGAGCGGAGCGCTGAGTTCGTGTCGCAGCAATGTGATACATGCGAGTTATTTAAAGAAGGCAGGTTGTGTGCTGTGCTGTGCTGCGTTGGTGGTGGTGGTGGTGGGGGGCAGGAAGAAGTCTGGCTGTGTGTAGATAAAAAGTGTTTGCTCTAAAATCAAATGAAATAAGCTTTTTCGAGGATTTTATTTTTATTTTTATTTCACTCAGCAAAAATAAAATCCAGCAGGTTGTAGTAAGTAGTCAGTTTCAGTTTCATTAGAGACTCCCATGTACTGAACAACACTCTTGACTGGCATTTGAATAAATGTAGACAGCTTAATAATGGAGGGGATGAAGGCTTTGTGGCTGACAGTGTGTTATTACAGAGATGTCTCAATTTTTCAATATTATACATATCTATGGGAAATTACCCTTTTAGCATGGAGAGTGCCAAATTCCTGTATGTCTTTTAAAATGTGGATCACACACTTTAACATGTTGATCGCACTGAATAATTTCATGTAGTTATGTTACAAAAACAAATCCACTTTGTCATTATCCAAGTACATATCAGGAAAAAAAAGAAAGAAAAATGTTACAGCTTCTTGTTTGTGCAGTACAATTAACACAGCTGTGTGTGTTTCTACAGGGGGAGAAAGGACCGCCTGGTTCCCCTGGCCCACTGGTGAGTCCCCACTGTGTCACTATCACTATGAAGGCTCAGTCAAAGTAATTGTAACATCTGACTCACCTAAAGATCAACTGCCTAGCTGTCTGTTGCATTGCAGGGACAAAAGGGAGAGCCTGGAGAGCCCGGCCCTGATGGACCCCCCGGAGAGAATGGCATTGACGTGAGTGAACAGATTGTTGTGAGGCAGGAGTTGTTTGGACGGGAGGTAATACAGCTGGAAGGATATGGGTCAAAAGAGAGGTTCACCAATAGAGATATGGATTTTTGTACACCACAGCTACAAACAAGTAGGAATTTAATAGGCCGGCAGAAAATTGTATGGGGATGATATGATGTTTTACAAACAATATAAATAGGAAAAACAAAACAAAAACAAACAAAAAAAACTTTTCTGCAGGATTTAAATCTCAGTGTAAAGATAGCTGTCCAAAAACCCTCAAAAGGTTTACTACACAGTGCTGCAAAGAGACTCTTCTCTCAAGTGGGAGAATTTGAAGAGAGCCATTAGCCGTCCACTCAACACACACCTGACCTCTGTGCTTCTTTGGCAAAAAGAAAGCTTTTGGAGGAAAAAAAAAAGGCAGCTTGCCACAAGCTGTGTAAACAATACAGCAGGCAAGTGAACGAATAACATCAAAATACAACCTTTTTTCATAGAAAATGATTCTCTCTGATGAGATGTGGGAGATTCTGCAAGTACACAGATGCAAATTAAGCCCTATTATTTGTTTACTGCCAAAGGTGCAGGTGTCAAAAAAAACATGCAAGTCAAGACTCAAAAATGGACAGAGCTCCATCTCTTTTGCAGAGGTTGTGCTTAAATTTCTGAAGCTAGTTTGCTGTGAAGCATTTGACAAAGTGGATGGCTCAATTTCAGATTTTTGTTGGTGATATTTTTTGTAAAACCAGGTGTTATTTCTGTCCCACATCACAATTATACACCACTTTTTGTTGGTCCCTGATGTAAGGAGATTCATATATTGGAGATTTGACAGAAAGTAGTAGGAAGTTCAGCTGGAACTTCCTACTACCTCAAAAGCAAGGTTCGTGATACACTTCAGAGGGGATATTAAAAAAAAAATACCTGGGAAGTAATACAGCTGTTATTACAGTTGGATATGTTATTTTGCCATACAAACAAAGAAACAGTTAAACTGATATTAAACTGTGCCGCAGTATCTTAGGTCAGTCATTGCATCTTCTCTGATTCAGCCTATACCAGCAGGAAAGTTTTGTTTCACTGCCAAAAGATCACATGCTGACAAAAGCTCACCCATGCAGGCATTCTGCAGAGATTTAGCCACTAATCCGCCCTGGAATCTCAAGGTTTATGTTCCAAATACCTACCAGAACAGAGTCGGCTTTAATCAAATGTGTGGTTAACCTGGTTGTAAAGTCACTTATGGCCCCTGGAAAGCACAGTGTGAGCAATCTACAGCCTGGTGACTCTTTCTGTATTTCATTGCTTTACCTTATATAAACTATAGCTCACTGGTTTTTATGCTTTTCTTTCCATCTCCAGGGTTTGATTGGAGCAAAAGGTGACCGCGGACCAATCGGTAGCCCCGGCCCAAAGGCAAGTGTTTCGACTGACTAGATTATGCACCAATACATCACTGCTGTGGGCGGAAAACGTCCATTCCAGGAAGACATAAACAAGATGCCTTTCATTTCAAGCATTTGTTCAATTTCAGCCCTGGTATGTTGTAGGAAAAACAGTTTTTAGTCATGCATCTCAAAACATAAAACAAACATCTATAGCAGGTCCTTAAATTAAATAAGCTGAGTGACTTACATTGATACATGCAGACAAAAGCCAAAATGAAGCATTAGCATTTGGAAAAAAAATAACTTTCATTATTTTCTTTAGAAATTAAAAGTGTAAATTTGCTGTTGTGCAAATGGAATAGACAACAGGTGGAAATTATTTTCATATTTATTTCATTAATTCAGATCTAGGATGTGTTATTTGAGTGTTCCCTTTATTTTTTTGAGCAGTGTATACATACATACATACATACATACATACATACATACATACATACATACATACATACATACATACATACATACATACATACATACATACACACACACACACACACACACACACGCACACACACATACATACATACACACATACATACATATAATGCATGCCAAGTGCATGATCTTGACCCAACCGAGTTCTACTGAGAGAGATTATAAGACATGTTGCATCTGCAGGCCTCACCGACATGCTGGACGCTAAAGTTCAGCACAGAAAATCCAGTCAGTAAAATTGTTTGAATGTGTGGGCGGGAGGAATCTCATTTGAGAAAATACCAAAAAACAAAACAATTTTTGGTTTGTAGAAAAGTATTTTAAAGTGTCTATTTTCAAGACAGTCATATTACAGAAAGTAGACTTCTGCAATACATTTTTACATGCTGTCATAATTGCAAGCAAGGGGTTTCTCAAGTCTTAGACTGTCAGTGTTTTCTATGGTTTCTTGCTAGATGCTACTTTATATGCTGCCTTCAAATGCTTAGCGCACAGCATGGAGTTCCACACTCGATAAGCAATACATTTATGTACATAAACGCTCTACAAGTTTCACACATTTAATACGTGCACTGTTCTCATTCCATAGCCAATTGGACTGAACTTTTCTCATTTGCAGGGTCAACCGGGACCAAGTGGTGAGCCTGGACGTCCAGTAAGTGTCACATCTTCATAAGAACTGCCAATTAATGCTTCTAGAAATAAGATCAATAAAACTAAGGTGCACCTATGTAGCTGGTTGTGAAGACAAATAGCAAGTCAGCAAGTCACAGTACAGCAGCTCAATGCATTCAAAAATCTAGATTTACTGCAGGAAATCTTGCTGAACTTCCTAACTCAGCATCAGAATGAGGACGAGTTAGGATGTAAGTGACTGAATATGGCATGTTGTTGGTGCCAGAGGGCCTGGTCTGTTTCATAAACTGCTGATCTATTGGGACTTTCTACACACTACCACTACTGTGTGAGATTTAAAGATAAGGGTCCAAGACAGACAGAAAAAAAAAAAAGAAAATAATTTCTTCTTCTTGATTCCAAGAGAGATTGAACAGACTTGGTTAAGTCACAGAAAAGCATGAGTATCTCAATAATCTATAGTTACAGTCAAGTTAAACCTTAAAAGGCCACAGCAGCAGAACTCAACCCTGGATACCATTCCTCACAGAGAACTGAGGCTCAGTTTGGGTTCATGAGTGCAAAAAAGAACCATTTCAACGCCACAGCTTTCCTTGAGAATGGATGAGGACAACTCCATCCTTTTAAGACCACAGTGTAACAGCCTACCGATGACTACATTCAGCAGGTTAATGCACCGTGTCACAAATTTATGCTCAAGCGGGATTCTCGAATATGCCTGTGGGGTGACTGCGCTACCCTGTCTTTGAAAGTCACCAGATTTCATTCCTATAAGGGAACTTTGGAATGTGGTTGAAAACGTATTTGAACTGATGTCCAGCTGATAAATTGGCAGCCGTATTTTGTGCATAAATCCCTGAAGAATGCTTCTCACATCTTACTGAATCTATGCCATAATGAATAAAGTTGTTGTACTACTTGCAGCGAACAAAAATGATGCTGAGTTAAGATAAAAGCAAGCAGAGATTACATGATGTAAGCGTTAAAGCATATGTTGGGATTTGGGTAGTTGTTGGAAATAGTTTCCACCAAACGTCCTTCAATTAATTTTTTTTTTTAATCCCTCTTTGCTTTATTGCATATTTGGTATTGCAAATACCAAAAAGCTAATTAGAAAGAATAAATGTTAAAGATGAAACAGGTGATACAGCTTGTCTACGAGCTATAACTGTGTAAACGCTACATTGACACTAATCCCTTACCTAAACCCCGTTGAAGGCCACTCTAAAGATGGCACTGGCGTTCTGGATAATGTACTATGATGCAAAATAATTGCAAAAATAATTTAAGAAACATACAAGAAGGTTGACGTTTGATATCTTCATGATGATATGGAGTGTCAAAGTATCATTTCATAGGATTTGGTCAAAGGTCACAGTATGTCTGAAAGGTCAACTAAAGTCGACATCTTGAGTTTGTGATGATTTAACAGGCAGAGCTAACTTGCTGTTTCCAATGCTTATCACAGCTTATCAGTGTTTATGTTTTGTAAATAGTAAGACATTTTTATGACACTTAAGCGATGAGTTATGACCGAGGGAATCTTGACGCTGCTTTATTGTCTAATGCTTAGATGCTTTATTATCCAACAAATTTGTATCCCAGCTGGCTTTTTTGTCGTGCCTGAATGCCTAACCAGCTGCAGCCCCCTTTTAGCTCACTGAGGCCAGATGTGACATATGCTGCCTTGAACTTATAATAGAAACGATTCACACACAGCCTCACACACACACATGCACCCCAACAAACCAGCTACAAATTACATGTAAGCACAGTCTGATGCCACTAGGTGGTGCTCTGTGTCCATCTTCCTCACAACCTGCAGCAGCCCTGCAGGTATTCAATGTTATGCTTGGATGCCACACAATTAGTTAATCCTTTGTTCAGCATTATGGGGCGTCCCTGTTTGGGGAGGGGGAGGGCAGTGCTGGGCATCCAGTTGTCTAACGCTGCACTGACACAAGATCCTGCCCAGTGGGCTAAATTGCCTCCATGAAGACCTGATTCCTTAATTATCCTGTTAAAGTTGATTCTAAGCAAACGACCAAGAAAAACAAACTGCCAGTGTTCTGAGTTTGTGAGCACTGTTTAGCCTTATTCAATGCACACAATACATGTGTTATCAAATCATTGCTTTTTTGTCATTGTTTAAATTTATAAAGCATCGGTGCTCTGGTAGATATTTCTGTGTCACAGTAAATTAATCCTACTTCCTCTTTCTGTTCCATGCAGGGAGTCGGCCTAGCAGGTCTGGCTGTAAGTTGCGTGCTTGCTTCTTCACAGAAATACTTTGACTTTTTTATGCCTTTGCTTTTAAGAGATTGGGAGTACAATGGATATATTCTAATGTTCTTCATTGCACTATTTGTCTGCATTGCTTTTTGCATAGGGTGCCCCAGGGCCAATTGGCCTTCCAGGTCAAATTGGACCGCCTGGACCAAAGGTAGGCAGGCCATCAGTTTTCAGTTTAACATCACCTTGCTGTGTTCCCTTATTTCTACAGATTATTACCCCAAAGCAACTTCCAGTCATATTCAATACGTCTTACAGTAGCTTGCAGCAGACGAACAGCAGAGATGAATTTAGAAGTGGCTGAAGCCATCGACATTTATTTGGAAAAAAAGCAGCACGCAAACACTGCAGCCTCGCTACAATAAATGATGGAGCTTATTTGACGTACGTAGGATTTAATACGTGACTGCAGGTTGTCAGTCCTTCAATTAAAACTTATTAAAATAAGTCATTAAGATAGCATGACTTATTTGTTATGAAGATCTCTTCATAAGCATAGTATTACATTTATATTATTTAGAAACTGACACCTAACATCAACCATTCCCAAGCCTGACGTCAGACTAGCTTTTTCTCATTACCAAGACTCTGTAAATGACTTACACAGTGACAGCGGCTACTGTCATAGAATGAAAGGCTCTTATTATTTCCGAGCAGCAACACATTGTAACCAATTACCAGCCGTAAGTCTTCTTATTGCCCTTACAGCAGCAGCAGCAGTGCATTGCAGTTACCTGTCTTACTGTAGAAGGCTCCCACCATCATCTACACCTCACGGCTGCATCAATGCTAACAATCAATTGCCATCTTTGCAGAGAAACAGAAAGTGTTTCTCAATTCTGCCTCCTGTGGTAGAAGGAATGCATTGCAAGACAAGACATCACAGTCGCGGAGAAGCTTCTACTTACTGCCACCGGAGAGTGGTATTAGTAATATACCATTTATCAACACAATTGTTTTCAACCATTTGCTTTTTGGAGCCAATGGATAAAGAACTCGTATTTACCACCACCTTGTGGTGGCAGGGGTACTGCATGTACTGGCACAGCTGCAGTGGGACTCAATGCTCTACCTGTCTGCTTACTTTATTTGTGGCTATTTTCTTTCATCTAGGGTGTTTTGGGACCACCAGGTCCTCCGGGACTCCCTGGACCTCCAGGCAAACCGGTAAGTGTCAAGTGAAAATTGTTTGTAAAGGGAAATTGTGATCCCTAACTACAAAACAGCAAAGTTGATCCTGAAGTAACATTTTAAAATAAAGGGATTTTACGGAGCATGCATACAGTTTGGTGAAAATAACATTTCAATGCATAACAAAAGTTGGTACACAAATGCTCATAAAAACAAACAGTAATATTTTGCTGAAATGGTAAAAACTATGATACAAATTTTGTCCTTTTAGTCAAAACTTTACAAGGAAATGCATTTTTCAAAAACCTAAAAAAAAAAAAAAAAAAAGAAAACCAGGAGATTGCTCGATACTTGCATTTCTGTGATGTTTAAATTTGGCTTGGAGTTGCTTCTGGGGAGTGAAATTTCAGCGAGCCTCTGCCCATACGTTATTGCAGCAGAAGAAGGCCAGTATGAAGCTTGGGTTTGGTCCGCTTTCCTTGCTCCCCTGTAGCTGCATGAAAAACCTTAATGTTCCTAAACAGAGTTCAGCGATTGTTGCGATTCCTCTCTGTTTTGGTGGAACTTTTTAAAGTTCCTCTGTGGAACTTTGCAGTGCTCCCTTAGTTCAGCACATAGAGAACAATGCTGCATTCGGTCAGTGTACTTACATGCTTTAAATAGGGCTGAACAGGATACAGTTAGTACAAACACTCGTCCCGTTATGTGTACCGCATAAATAGATACACTCAATAATAACTGGAGACGTTGTTGGTATCACAGTAATCAAACTGTTCCTACAACTGCTGGCCATTTGTTCCCCTTTTGCATGCTTTCACTAATACTTTGATAATGCATTCCAAGTCTTTTAGGCTGGAGAGCCCTTTGCCATTACCCTAATCTTTAACCCCCTCTACTGACTCTCTAACAGGTTCAACTCAAACTTGTGACTGGCCTAGTCCAAAATATTCATATGAATTCCATTCAGACAAAACACCTTTGTAAAAAGAAGAAAACGATTACTTTAACTCTGGTTTTCACCAGGGTTATGAATAATTTTGGACTTGATGGTATGACAGCCTTTTCTTTTGCACAAACTTCTGCAACAGTACTTCCAATTAACCACAGAGTTCTGCTTGGATGATCTTTAAACGTCACAATTTCCTTCAGCAAGACTGCAGAGATCAGTAAACATGCTAACGGGTCTACATTAGGCTTAATTAGGCTTATGGCTTTATCAGTCTAATTGACTCTTCCTTATGTCACTGGAAATGATTACAGGGCAAAATGAAAGGCCTTGACAAACCACTAAGACTGATGATTGTTTGTTCCTGCAGAAGTAGAGGTTGATATTTTATTTAACCATGATTTTTTTTTTAATGCATGAAAATACCTGCTGTAAACCACAGTGAGCTGTTTGTATAGGTCCCAGCAGACAGAAAGTGTTGAGGCAACCAAAACAGTTCTGAGAGTTAGGCTTTTTTTGAAGGCGCATGTACTCCCCTGTGTGTTTCTCCGAGTGGCTCAGAGAGCGCGGGGGTGGGGAGAGGGAATGCAGAGGGGAGTGTCTTCACCTAGAATGATGTTCACTGCCCAAGGGAGTGTATTTGTTTAACTTTAGTGCTGTCTTAGGACAAATAAACCCCTATTAGATCAGTGGGGTGTCTCATCTGACTGCAGCAGTAATACATCAGTCTCTAGAGATACCTCACTTCCTAACTTAATCTATAAGCAGAGAGATGGAAAGATAGGGAGAGGAATCGCTGAAAATAATGGGGAGAGTGCTGAGTCAGCACAAAGAGGGTTGGAGGGGGGAAGAGGGGAGTCGAGGTAACTCTTTGCCAACAGAGGCCAGCAGACTTCCCTCATACTTGTGTCCAAATGCCTGTCTAGGGTCCTCCAGGCAAGTTTATTGGTCTCGAGGAGGGTAGCGCAGACCTGCAGGTGAGATCTTTCACAACTATCTTACTTTTTTTTTTTTCTTTGGCACAGTTTCACTTCTGTTAATCTGTATTCTTTTGCATCTCTTGAAACAGTGTCCTCTCAACTGCCCAGCAGGACCCAAAGGCCCTCAGGGACTGCAGGGTGTAAAAGTAAGACTTTGTGTCTCGTTGTCTCCCGTTGCAAAGTTTTGCCGCAGCACCGTCCTGACTAAAGCGTTGCTCTCCAGGGACACAAAGGGCGCGCCGGCATTCTCGGAGACCCCGGCAGCATAGGGAAACCGGTGAGCTGCGCACTACACAAGTACCTGCACATGTTTATGTTTTTTTTTTTTTTACAGTCTTGCACACTCAGCCACTGCTGAGAGCCACAGGAGGCAGGGATTAGTTTTAATGAAGCCCCCCGAGGCACATGACTGCACTAATCTGGCAGCGATTAGTCAGGCCGGAGCTCGGACCTGCAGTCCGCATGCAGCGGCGTGCCAGATGAAAGAGACGGTGCAGGAGCCAGGTACACGAAGGGGAGGATGAGAGAGTCAAGGTTCACGCAGACCTCTCACCTCACCGTTTTAAGCAGAGGTAATGAGCACACCGCGGACTCCTGGGGAGCAGCTTGCCGAGTCCGAGGACTTAGCCTCTGATCTTCCCACACAATGAACCTTCTGGCTGCGCTTAGATGCCGAGAAACACTCGGCTCACCCGATAACCACTCCGCACAGGCCCGGCTTGGATTTCAGAGGGCCTGCCTTGACTCAAGGTTGCTCTGTCTTTTCTTCATCTTAAAGACACCCGCCAGGAGCTGTTAACATCTCCGGCAAGCTGCTCAGGCTGAGACTCAGATGTTAGCTGAGCAGAATTGCTTTACTTCCTGCATGCGAAATCACTTCTGAATGGAAAAAAAAAAATGCTGAGGAGCCCACTCATCTTTATCTCTGCGCCAGCAGAAAACAATGTGGAGGTATCGCACTTCAGAAACCGTTAGACGGCTGTTTTAACACAGCTGACTGAGGATTATCATACTTGTGCTAAGAAGGGTTGACTATCTCATATAGACACAGGTGTTATCTGGTATAACATGTTCAAGCATAACAAAACTAAAAGTTGGGACAGCAAACTCAAAGGTAAAATCTCTACAGACACAGTGATCAAGTGGATACGGGAGTCCTTCTCACAAATACTTCCCCTTGTAGTTAAAGTACTCTCCTCAAAGACTATATGCTGACTAACATAATATTAAAAGTGCTAAGTGAAACGCATTATATTGATTAATGTGAAAGTTTTTATCAGTAATTCTCTTATGCTCAGTTCAGCTTCAGTGTTTTGACTCAAAGACATACATGTTTCACGATAACTTTACAGGAGGCAAAATGTGACAGTTTTGCACATTTCCTACAAAGAACCAGAAATAAACCGAAAGTAAAGAATAAAGGGATGGCCGAGAAACTAAAGCGGTTTTATTATCCGGATATTAATTGCTCAAATGATGAAAACTGTAAAAGGTCAAATCAAATTAATTTATAAAGTCCATTTCATTGTGCCAATGAAAATTGTTCACAAATGCAGAATCAGCATGCAAGAAAGGAAAACTAGAAACAAACACAATCAACAAGACGCATAAAAAAAACCCATTTCAAACTTAAGAAATAAAAAAACCCACTAACGTCTCTTTTCTTCTTTTGACTTATAAGTATGAATTTTAGTTAAAAATTTCCACATTTGTTGTAGCTGTAATTAAAAGAACTTCTTGTCTACCTGTCCTCAAAATCCAAAATGGTCGTTTTGCACATAAAACAGCTAGCTACAGCAGGGTGACTTAAATTTGAAACACGAGACTCACTTTGAGTCGCCCACCTTCAGTAATAACATCCACACCGAAGTAGTTGTCAGCACAACCTATGTCAGAGCATTTCTCAAAGGAAGAGGTCATTTTTAATATTTTCAGAAACCAGTGCTTAGTATTTACATTTGATTTCCATCTTATAATCTCTTTCTGTGAAAGTGACGAGGTGCATAGTGTTGACACTACATATGAAACTCTGATAGGTAAGTAGAGCCATGACAAAACTCAATAAAACACATTTTTGTAATCAGAAGATGGCCAAATCCTGTCCATCAAACATGCATTCCATTTGAATTTCCAGAAATCAAAGCTAGGAATGTTGTTAAACCTCAGCTGATCGGCTTCCAGTGTACAACAGCAAGCATCAACATTCAAGTTAAGATTTCCCTCCGGAAATTTCACACCCGAACAACTCTGACCCCCTTTAACTCGACCCGCTTTGCATTTTCGCAGCAATGTACCTTGAAGTTCATGTGTTTGTGAGGGAAATTGGGATCTGTGTGGGCAAATTTGGATTGGGCCATTAATTTTTGATTAGCTCGCTCTTGCTGGCTAATTAGTTTCAGCTAGAACTTTATCAAGCTTGACTCAGCCAGTACACAGTATACAACCATCAAAGGCTGGTTAAGGCATCAAAAGTAACCGTCTAAAACTGGTTTTGAAAGTAGTTGCTCTCAGGTTTTAAGTTTGCATGAATGAAATGTACACACACAAGACAACAATTTGACCTTCTGTTAGTTTGGGAAATTAACAACTTGTCTGTTTTCATCTTTTTTTCCCCTTTATTTTAAACAGGGACCCAAGGGAGATGTCGGTCTCTCTGGGGAGCAGGGCATCCCAGGACCCCCGGTATGCCATAGACTCTAAATTAGTTAATGCACATGATTGTTTGAGCTTAACAGAGGAAACTGGCATTTGTAGTGCTCTGTCCTCCCCATCCTCAAAGGCACGGCTCTGCCTTACATTACTGACTTGTCCTTTCCTGCAGGGTCCGTTCGGTCTTCGGGGATATCCAGGAATGATGGGTCCTAAAGGAGAGGCCGTGAGTGCCGCGTTTTGTTGTTTTCGATTCAGACGGAGCCTCATTTTCTCTTTGCTCTGCGGATGCGGGGCATTTCAAATTCTGTGCTAAGCACCAAGAAGGCACAGCCAGCCTGAGACCCTGTCTATACAAACACCATCCATTAACAGCAATGGGGACATATGGAAATGATGCTAACACAAATCTCTCTCCTTCTCTAATGAGTTGGGGTTGTCTGGGTCCACTGTGACTCCATCTGTAGTTAATGATCCACTGTAGCCATCCATCTTACTGTTAACATTAGCCGAGTTAGCCAAGTTAGCACCCCGGCTTAAAGCCAAAACAAGAATGGCTGGATCTCTGCGCTGTTCCCATTAGTGGAGTGAGTTAAGCACTAATTATCCCTTTATCACAATAAATAATAGTCTTCTGCAACTTAACGTTCCCTCTGATCTCAGGTGATTGATGGCACTTTGTTGTTCTCCGGCAGGGCCCTCGTGGATACAAGGGCATTGTTGGACCTGTAGGAATTCCTGGACCTCCTGTGAGAACACACACACACACACATACACACACTTACTTCAAAATAAAGTTCTGATTATTCTGAGGTACCCTTTCTTTTTTCTCGCAGGGTGAGGAGGGACCTCAGGGGCCACTTGGAGACTCGGGAGAAAAAGGAGACAAAGTGGGTGAAAGCTCTACAGTCATTGCCAAACAACAACGGTTCTGTCTGAAAACTTGATCGGATGGCTCCGTGCACACGCTGACAGACACATTTGTTTTCCGCAGGGCGGCCGAGGCATCCAGGGCCCACAGGGGGGCGTTGGCAAAAAGGGGGAGAATGTGAGTGAGGCCTCTTGTTTGTGTGTTCGCTGATGTTTTCAAAGAGCGTGCCAAATAAAGTCCTGTGATTCATCGTCCGCCTGCTATCCCAGGGTCTTCCGGGTATCGATGGAAAAGATGGCACACCTGGCATTCCTGGAATCAAGGTAAGCGCGCACCTGCTGCTGTGACGATGAGAGTCTGGAAAAAATGACACATGTTTAATCTTCTTTTTTTTGTTGTTGTTGTATTTTATGTAGGGGGCTCCTGGGCAACCAGGAATGCCTGGCCCTCCTGGTCCTGCGGGGACAGCAGTAAGTGATTATTTGCTTTTTTATTTTTTTTTAATTTTTTTATGATTGGGCAATGTCTTCATGTACCATAAACATTTTCCCAATTTGTCAGAACAAAATCAAATTCCAATATTTCTTTTTTTTTTTATCTCAATTTGTGCAATCCACTTACATAAATTATGTGATTTTTTAAATTTGTTTATTTTGTTTATTTTTTTCAATTACAAATATGAAAATGTTATGGAACATCCACAACACCTCACATATATAGTCAGCTACCCAAATTGACAGGCAAAGGCATCGATCTGAGAAGCAGAAACATCTTTGCCATGGTGAGACATGGTGGTGGAAGACGGCTGACAATAATCTCAGCCGGTTAATCTGATGGGGAGATGAATATGGTGATTCTGAAGGAAGACGTCTTGTAGGTAACAAAAAATTGTGAGACTTAAGTGGCGGTTCACATTACAGCAGAGAAACAACTCAGAAATACAACCAGAACTACAATTTAATACTTTATTTGAAAACCTTATCCAGGAATATGAATGCTCCAATGAAAATCCACATCTAAATTTGGTTAAGAATCAGTGGGACGATTGGAACATTATTGTTCGCAAACAGACTCCATGTAATCTAACAGGTACTTGGCAAAATTTGTTAAAATTTTTGACTGACATAATGTGAAAAAGACATGTGAGGTATTCCAGACTTTAATTGCTTGACACTTTTCTCCATCTTGACTCAACAAAACCAAATCATGAAAAAAAAAAAAAAAAATGTTGCAGTAGGTTTGAATTCCAGCTCTGTTTTCTGGGCAGTCGTCCAGGGTAACAGAGACCCTTTGACCCTCTCTGTTTTCGAACACAAACCACCTTGAAATGGCTCTCTGCTGCCTCCGCACACCATTTATCATTATCAGGCCGGTGGGGAAAGCCACAAATGTGCGTTCTGTGTGTGTGTGTGTGCATGTGTGTATATGTGCATATCTGCATTATTTTGACTAAGAGGTAATGAAGCGCGAAATGCACACTTTGCTGTGTGATCGCTTCTGTGACACTCGGGCTGCGACAGACTCAAGCTCTGGAACCTGGACTTTTTCTACACACTTAAACACAAACGCACACAAATGAGCAAGACCAAGCGTTTGGCCCTGGCTCGCAAAGGTGGCTTTGTAGAGCTCAGACATTTTTTGCCACTTCACAGATAGCAGTAACACAATCAAGTTTGCACCGTCGGTTTTGCCCTCTGCGTTTCCAAGCTGCACGCACAAGGAGTTTGGATTTGCTGTGTTTTCAAAGCTGTGGTAATTCTGTCTGCAGGGTTTGCCTGGCACACCAGGGGGAAAAGGGGAACCTGGAAGAAAGGTATGCTTTTACCTTTTTATTTTATTTGTTTTTAAACATTTCTGTTTTATTTCTTATTGCATTTTGTTGCTTTTTCAGGGGGAACCTGGACCAAGGGGCCACAGTGGGATGCCTGGTACTCCTGGTCCTTTGGTGGGGAACATAGAATTTCAAATTTATACATATGTGCACACATAATTATTGTATTTTTCCAGTGTTGTAAAGCTTTGATTGGATCAAACATTGAGAACAATTGTACAAGTTTAATGTCTCTCTGTTAGGGCGAACCAGGTATTCCTGGAGGGCCAGGTATGGAAGGAGTTCCCGGACCCAAGGTAAAAACCGATGAAAAACTAACAACAATAATGAAAAGTAAACAAAAACACACAAAAAAACTAAAGCATCATATGAACTAGATTTGTAAAGTTTGTATTGAACTGCCATTCTTAATGCAGTTGATGATATCAATAAGTAAGTAAATAAAACCTACCCATTTTCTATTTAATTAAGCCACAGAGCTAACGTCACTCTTATTTCTGCAGGGTGACAGAGGACAGCGGGGACCAGTGGGGCCACAAGGATCAGTTGGCAAGCCCGTAAGTTGCATTACCTATTAAAGCATTATTAAAGCATTTTTTATTTTTTTAAAGATGATTGCAGAGTGAACACTAAACACTATATTTATCTTTTCCAACAGGGGAGCAAAGGAGAAAGAGGGCCTATTGGTATCCCAGGTGCACAGGGACTTACTGGGACTAAAGGGGATCAGGTTTGTGAACAATTTATGCAAGAAAAAAAATGCAAATGTAAAATTGTCCATACATAGGTTATACATTGTCCATAATAATCTAGTGTAATTTGCAGGCCTGACCATTGGGGGCAGTATTTACTAGTGAAAAGATCTCAAATGAGGTTCACTGTAGATCATTGAGTGAAGCAAGCGATATAAATGATAATCCAAGCATCCTCATCTTCCTTGTTTCGGAGATGAGACAACATTTTTCTTTCCTCTGACACCAATCTGGTGTCAGAGGCCTCAATAAATATTTAGTTCTTGTGCGTTTCGAAGAATAATATATTCTAGATGTAGCCACATTCACATGTACCCACCTCTCTCTCTCTCTTTCTCTCTGTCTTCCTACCAGGGCTTTCAAGGAAAAGGTGGTCCAAAGGGAGACATAGTGAGTAGAACGTTCTGCTTCTTTTTCAAAAACAAGCTGGTCAGAAATCCAGAGCTCAGTGCCCACAAGATTATTTCCCTTCATGCATGCCCGGCTTTGTTCTGCTCTTAGCTCTCTCCTCTCTGTTCTCTCTGTTGCTTTCAGGGCGACCCAGGTGTTGAAGGATTGGCTGGCGAGAAAGGCGAAAAGGTAAAGACGGGTAGAAGCGCAAGGTAAAGCCGCGTCGAGCTCCTTGTTGCAAAGAACTGCAAAGAAGTCTGTGGATAGGGAAGATTCAAACGCAGTGGCTGGTTGAAGCACAGCGAAAACATTAAAATCACCATCAAACTAAAAGGAAGCTTCAGTTTACATACAAAATACACATAATAACTCAGAAAGGAGGTAATTTATGAAAAATGGACGAAGCTATTCGCACAGCCTTTTGTGTGCATGTATTTTTATACGTTGTTTACCAAATTCCATTTTGACAGTGAAGCCATTCATATACATATCCCTGGATATTCATCATATAGTCCCCACAAAATTTTATTTTTGGGGGGAGTAAAAAAAGTGGCTTCACTGAGTAAAGCTTTCTTTTGCTGTGACAGGGTTTGTCTGGTGAACCTGGGCCCAAAGGACAGGTGAGTGGACGAGATCGCCGTTCGACCGTCTCGCTGACATTTCATGAATCTTTCCTCCTGACTGCTCTTTTCTTCACAGCAAGGAATTAGGGGGGACCCCGGACACAACGGCCCCACTGGAGACCCTGGGAAACCAGGGGATCCGGGGTCGCCTGGGCTGCCGGGTCCAAGGGGACTCAACGGAGAGAGAGGAGTTCCCGGCATACCGGGCATTGCTGGACCAGTGGTAAGTGATTCACTGCAACAACATTCGTCTTTTTATTTCACTAACGCGATGCTGAGGCTTCTCTTGCTCCCTCCAGGGGCGTGATGCATCTGACCAGCATATTATTGAAGTGGTGCTAAAGATGTTGCAGGGTGAGCATTAATATCTGGAAATACACCTTTAATGTCTGTAGGATTAGATGAGCTCATTTCTTCAAAAGAAGAAAAACAAATGCTTCTTAGCTTTTGAAGCGGTCGGTTGTTGGCTGTCAAAGGAAGGGTCTTGGGAATGACTATTCGGTTTTATGGTACAGAAAAACTGCAGGCTGTGGCAGTGAGTTCCAAAAGGGCTGTGCTTGGTGGTGCGGGTGTAATGGGACCTCCCGGGCCTCCAGGTCCACCAGGGGCACCTGGCCCCCAGGGGCCACATGGCATTCCTGGCACCCGTGGTATCCCTGGTATGTTTGGGGGACCTGGGCAGATTGGAAACACTGGGCTAAAAGGTAAGTTGCCACAGCATTGGAGTGAGATGAGATGGTGCTTGTTGTTGATTTTACAAAAGTCGGTCATGTCTTTGTCTTCATCCAGGAAAGAGAGGGCCGAAGGGCGAGAGAGGAGATCCAGGTAAACCTCACCCAGGTCAACCAGGACCTCCAGGGATACAAGGTGAAAGTTTCCTTTTTTGACTGAAGTATGCAAATATTGCACTGTTAAAGCACCTTGCTTTAAAAATTATTTCTTAAAACCTTCAATTTTGGTTTACTAAGCCCCAAATTATGTCTATTCTGAACTTCCAACAAATGGAACAAGGGAATACGAGAAGGAGAATTACTTCTCAAACTTGGGATTATGTGCATCATAAGTTCTGTTCGATCTACTTTCCGACCCTCATCTATGTGTCATGACCGAAAGAACGAGATCGCGGACACAAGCGGTCAAAATGGGTTTTCTCCGTAGGGTTTCTCCATTGGCCTTTATAAAAGCAAACACCTGACCTGATATAAGAAATTATTTGCCTTTCATAAGCTGCTTTGTTGCTCCTTTCTCAACTAAAAGACAGGAACAAAAAAAGGAATGTCATCTTCAATTGATCTGTGCAAAACAAAACTGAAAAACCACTTAGAAACACCGGGTTGACCTTTGAGTTGGGTTCAATTCCGATTGAATCACCATCGCACAATGTATCGTACAATATCTGTCATTATTTAATCCGTTTTTAAAAACACGCAAACTGAAGAGAAATGGGTTATATCAGCAACGCGACCTTCAACCAAAAAGCACTCAGTTTCGGAATGATGTCACTGCCATAAAATGAGCTCCAGACAGATCAAACACATCAGTGTGCATTGGCAAGATTGATGCAACATGCAGCCTCAGGCAGCACACTTTCAAATTTTAGCACAGATGTTGTGATACAGTGATCCTGTGAGCGAAACCCTTACTTAGCTTTACTAAGTGTTCCAAAAAGTTTTAATTAAGCTTCATAATTTTTCAGTAGAAAATATTCATCAAATTTTTCTTACTATACATTCGCAAAGTAAGTTCTTGGTTGCTGCGTTATTTTCTGCACAACATAAAAGCTCCAATGTTACTGCAATTACTAAGGGTTTTTATGAACCAGTTGAAAATGTTTATTAAAAAAATAGAGAGCTGCACAGAAAAAGAAGAGGTAAAGAAGACAAGAGAGACTGAATGACTTGCTGCTATGTCTGCTGCTATAGGATAGGATCCTGAGAGGAATTTCAAAGGCGTCATTAACTCCAGCCATTTAACAGATGCTCCTGAGTGGGGATGTGAAAGGACTGCAACAGTACAAGCTAATTCAAACTAAAGGAAATTCGTTCTGTTCTGCTCAACTAGGCGTAAATTAAATAAACGAATGCCTTTCCTTCAGTGGTGTAAGCAATGTGCCTGCTTGAGTTTCGGTCGTCAACTTAAGTTTCTCTTACGACCTTCCGACTTCACAGGTCCTCCTGGCGTTGATGGTGTGGCTAGAGACGGCAGGCCCGGTGAGAGAGGACCTCAAGGAGCAGCTGGTGAGCCGGGTCACCCTGGTAAGGCAGGGCCCCCAGGTCTTCCCGGGTTCTGCGAGGCGGCAATGTGTCTGGCGGCATCGGCGTACGCCTCGCCGAGATTACAAGAGGCGGGGACGATCAAAGGACCCAATGTTTAGAGACCCCCGGCCCTCTCTCTAAATCAACTGTCGGGGGGAGAGAGGTGAAGAGGAAAGAGAGAGACTGCTCTCCTCAGTTGGACAACATCAGGAAATGAGAGCTGGGGAGCAGTGATAGGACGGCGACTGGCTGTTTAGCTTCTCCCCCTGTCCTCCATCTCTCCTAGATATTACAACTGGAAGTTTTTTGGGATATCACAATCTTAATCCCACACATCACCATGACAACAGCAGCTCACAAGCCACCCACATCTTTTAAGAATTCTCCAGGGTTTTTTTTTTTTTTTGTTTCTTTGGATGATGTCTGTATCAGTCCCGTCCAAATGCCACACTCCTTTCCTTGGCAGTGAGACAGGAGCAGATTCAGACTGAACCTCCACGTGTCCTACCTACGGACACACCGTCTACAAGCCGAGAGATGCTGAAAAAAAAATTAAGTACAACGGTGAAGGGTGCTTTTCTTTAATGACGCGATCACTTTAGATGCGATGACTTGTGTGCTCTTGAACATCATCTTACCTCTGTTTCGACTGAGACGTCAAACCTTAAAAATGTACAATAAGGACCAATAAATGATTGCAGCCCAAGTTTTCACTCAGTACTGTATTATGAAATGCATCTCCTGATCTGTAAGCCTGAGTGAAATCCTTGATTTAACTAATGTAAATTGCTTCCCCTTCCCTCACCCCTCCGCTTTCTACCTAAGTCTCATTTTAAAACCTAACGACAAGCTTTATCTCATCCCCTTGTTGCCAGGCAACAGCATATCCCAATAGGCACTCCCATCTCCCACAATGCAGTGCTGTAAATCTTTGTAAATGTGTGTTGATTATTATGTGCAGGAATACCGTGCAGAACTCTCAGAAATGATGACACTTCCTCGAAACAATTGGCTATTAGTTCAATTGTGCTTTCCATGCCACTGTCAGATTTCCACAGGATTACTGGTTTATGTCATTAAAAAGAAGCTATTTATTGTTCTTGATAATAATCACCTGTAAAGAAAAAAGGGAGGATTTATTTCTGGATGTTCATTCTTCCCAAACACCAATAAAGAGGAAACGTTTTATAAAAATCCAATGTTCTTCTGTATCAATGTTGGGAAGGTATTTACTCTCTTTCAGATCCTTCCCTATAAAAACATATATATATATATATATATATATATATATATATACACATATATATATATATAATTATTTTTTTGCAACATTAAAATGATTGATTAATGCCTTTAAATAAACTCCCTTGCCTCACATGTTCAGCTTTTAGCAACATTTTTGCTTTACTGACCCCTGAAGTTGCCAAAAATCGAACACTACACTTCTTTTATTTACTGTACACCAAGAAAAAACAAAAAAACTGCACAGACAAAACATTAAGAGTTCCTGTGAGGAGACAAGCTGTTAGTATCAAAAGTACCTAACCAAAACCTCACAAAAGGACCTACAGAAATGTACTGTAGGGATAAAACCACTGCAGTGTAACTAAATAAAGAGCCCTACTGGGAAGGGTCAAAGTGTTACTGAAAAATATACTCCAACAAAAACTTGCAAAAATGATAAAAAATGTCAGTAGAAAATAATTTGGAAGGGAAAAAGCAGCAAAACATAAGAAAGGTCATGGTGACCTCCAACGCAACTTTGAAAGATATTCTGAACAACAAACAGAACAAATTAAACAACAGTTAAAAAATAAAATGACTTCTAGTCAGATGCTAGATGAAGATGTACGTGATGGTCGCCCTTCAAACATTGACTAATGCGACCTTCGACTAATTTTCTACTGTCAGGAAATGTGACTGATGGGAACAATATCTAGTGGTCTAAGCTTGAGATTTTAGTTTGATCTGTGGTCATAATTTATATTGCAAGTCCACTAAGTTGGAAAGAAAAAAACAACTTGAAATTGGATGTAATTACAAAGACTTCAGAAAATAACATGCAGTAAAATTGGATGATGACGTTAGTGGTATTTTATCCTAGTGAAAACACGTCTACAAATATAATGTGTCAAATGATTTTCAATAGTTAATTTATATCTTTTTTTTAAAATTAATGTTATCATAGTTGTATGAAAAGACCCAGGTGTAGGCTAGAGAGATGCAGTTCTATAATAAAGATTTATAGGAAAATGCAAATGAAAAAAATAAATAAATTGGGGATTCGGAGGAAGTTACTCAGGAGTAACAGGAACCCTAGGGATCCAGCAATAAAATTCAGCAAAGTGTGACATGAAAACAGACGTTGCGATGCAGAGGATAAGTCATTATGGGAATGATTTGCAGGTGAGATAATTATCTGAATGCTTAACAGCTGTGAGACAAGCCTGAGGATATCAGAGGCTTATATTGAACCCATAATGAATGTAAAGGAATCTGCAGCAAAGAAACAAACAAGAGCTACAGAAATTGACACTAGACTGCAATGACACAGAGTAACTTCAAAAAGTCACAACATAGTACAAATATACAAAACAACACTTTTAAAACAAAACAGGTGCATATTTAAAGGACAGTAATAGGAAAAGTAATGAGCGCGTACTAAACGTCTGCAAAGAGAACAAAAAAGGACATAGAGAGACAAAACAATTGCTACGGTGCAAACAACCAACTAAAGCATTGACCTTAGTAATTTGATACATGCTCTCTAGAAAAGATGAAGGGCATTTATAAATCTGCATTTAGTTGCCAAGCAGCTAAAATATTATTTGAGTTGCATTTGGAAATTACCTCAAAGCACAGGTTTAAAGGGGTACTTAGAGAATCTACACATTGAAATCAAAAAGCTGGGAATTAAAAAAAGAAAAAAAAAAGATATTTGGCAAATATACGTTGCTGTTTGACTGACGTAAAATAAAATATAATACTATGTGGGTTTAGTTTGATTAAATGTCAAAGTGATTGAAAAAATAAACAAACATTTATATGTCCTTAAATACAGTGTATGTGTTTTCAACCGTTCAACTTCTCGTCTGGTGAGTAGCTTTAAATAAAAACACCCAAAAAAAAAGGAGCGTTTGTTTGAAAAGCATTTTAATTACAGTTTTTAAGAAACAAAAGCATGACCACAGTTCAAAGTTCAAACTGGTTGAAGAAGTACAAAAATCTGTGTTGTTCAAACTTCCAAACTGCAAAATTGGCTGAAAGGAATTTCGCATTTTGACTTTTCACTGACGAAAGATTTAACATTACTTTGATAACTAACAGGGAACAAAGAAAACGGTGATGTGTATAACAGAAATCAAGTGATTGGGACATGAATGTGAAAATGTTCTTCATGCTGAAATGTCGGCGAAGAGTGAGGATTGGCTGAGCTGCATTTGTAACATTATTATGATGAAGTGCATTGAATGTCTATAGTTTAACCTTATTCTCAAAAAAAAAATGTTCCAGAGTGGTTTTCATTAGCGCTAAACTGGAATAAAATATGAGTCCAATAGATGAACTTTAGTGACACAGATACAAAAGCCAATTTGTTTTCTGTCTAAATACAAATGACTTCTATGAACCCATTTTTCACTGAACCCATTTGAAAGCTTATAGACATAAAATCATTTAATGATTTTTTTGCAAAAAATAACCACTGGCATTCAAAAAAAAGGAAGCTCCGAGTTGTATCAAAAGCCAATATATATATACATATAAATATCTACAAAACAATTCATCAAGGAAAGGCTGCCTTTTTTGTGGAATCTGTTTCAAAAGAACTAAACTACATTTACCAGCATGCTGTCTGACACTCAAACATGGCACACCTCACTCAATTCAACCATGACAATATTGGAAATGCATGGGATCTACTCTAATGCAATTGTTTGAGGACTGGAACAAAGATAGGGGAAATGGAAGCAAAGTATTAAAATATATATTTTTTTCTGCTTACAGAATTAGACACACAAAATGACCAACACAAGGAAGGATGGGGGAAAGAAAAGACAGAGGTCTGAATTTATGAAGGAAAAGAAAAGACAGATTGTGACTCTTTTTTCAGTTTGCTGTCCTGAAAGCACAAAAAGATGTAAAGCGAGGTCGGGGAATGAAAAATCTAAGGGTGTTAAAGCGATGAGCTGGCATTTTTATGGGTAAAAAAAAAAAACGTTCAATAACAATTTTCTGTTTGCAGGCTTCGGTTCCAGCGGGACGCTGTTTGTTAAAAACTCAACCAAATGCTTGCCGTCATGTGGTCTTACTGAATAACTTTAGGTCCTTGTCTTTGGTTTGCTTCCTTTCCCAAAAGTTGTAGTCTCTTTGCTCCAGTCCGCCTTCCCTTCATCCTGCAGAACCTTACCAAGGGCCTTTGACAGGTGGGCCCTTGGGGCTGTAGTCCACTTGATGGCTCATACAGTCGGCAGGATTACAACGGCCTTCCTTTCCTTTGGCTCCAGGCTGTCCAGGAGAGCCTGGTATCCCAGGAACACCCTGCTGGCCAACAGGTCCAGGAGGTCCCATTTTACCATAGCCTGGAGGACCTGGAATGCCTGGGACCGAAGAGAGAGAGAAAAAAAGACAAACCCCATCAGTAACTGTCTTTGAGCCTGGAACACTGAAAAAAAAAAAAAAAAAAAAACCTCTCAAATGACAATAAAGCAATTTAATTTCAACATTTCAATGGACACACTGTGTCTTTAAATATCATTCCCCTCTTTGTTTCACATAATCAAGAACTTGGATGGCTTTTAATTGGATTTCATCGAGTATACCAGCACAAAAGGTATGTAGGTATACCAGCACCTACATAGCTGTGAGATGGATGAATTACTGATTTGGAAAATTTGTTCCAAAACAAAAAAAATCTGTAAGAGACATTAGTGAGCAAGCAGCATCACAAAGACCAAGGAACACACCAAACGGCACCATGACGGTAAAGAGGGAAACTGGTGGGACTTCATTGAAATGTGGAAGTTGATAAAAAGGTCAAAGCTAGAGGTGAAAAAACTGAGAGGATTTAAAAGACATTAGGCAGAATGCAGCACCATCCACATTTTTATTTGTAAAAAATACTGCGCAACATGTAGCATGTTCCTTTCATTGTTGCCTGTTGAGTGGTTATGTTATGAGCCACATATTTTATTTTAAGTGATCTTCACCCAGATTAGTCTCGTCTTTTCTTTTTATATGTGTGAACAAATCAGAGAGTCCACTAAAAGATGTCTCAAATGGCTAGTTATTGTTACACTTATAATTGTGCCAAATTAATTAACTATTTTTTTTGTTTACTTCCTAATGAATAATAACTTTCTCAAGTTAAATGAACTCATTTAAGGCAGGAGCAGAAACACAGGGAAACATTCATGACAGGGAATTGTAATCGCCAGTAAAATATGTACAAATCTGCTGTAATTGTTGCACCGCGTCTGTTTGTCGGGACGGAAATAGTAACTTGAGCCATCTGAAGTGTTTTTCCACTTCCGTTAGAGAACGCTTGCTTTTTAAACTCAAAATTGATCAAACGGCTCCATGTGAAGTGATTGCAGCTGGCAGTCCTCCAATTTCGCCGACACTATCTGAACTCGTGGTGATTAAGGATTGTTAGATATGCTGGTACGAGTGAAAGTGGTTAATTGTAATTAGAGCACATTGATAATAATAATATAAAAAAGATATATATATATATATATATATATATATATATATATATATATATATATATATATATATATATATATACATGTCATCACATTGGCTTTTTTTGTTTTAATTAAAATACTTTAATTAGTGGAAATTACTCAAATTGAGCTAATTCTGTGCGCAACATCTGGCGCAGGTTGGACCTGCTTGCAAACTATTGTGGAAATCTAGCAGGGAATTGATTGCTGCTAAGTCTTAAATGCACCACTTCACTAAAAGTTAGCTTGGCCTAATTTTTATTTTTATTTTTCAAAGAACCAATTGGATGCATCACCTGGTGCTCCAGGTGGTCCCACGTCTCCCATCTCTCCAACACCCTTATCACCCTTTACTCCTGGCGGTCCTCGTGGTCCTACAGAGTTAAAGACGGAATTCTATCACTTGGAAGACAAAGGTTTACTCATATTATTTAGCATTATCTTGAAATAATAATTCACCGGGGAGTCCTTGT